TTTTGATCCACAGACTGGATCGGTCTTTCACTATCCTGCCAATGAGAGCACGCCTGGCAAGAGTTGAAAGTAAATGAAAGTTATCTCCCTTTGATATGTGACTTAAAAAAATTTCACATATTGTCAATCAGTGACATACCTCTACAGTCATATGTATTATTCCCATCACCAGATGTTTTTGTTTGTTTGCTTGTTTGTTGCTTAACGCCGCACTCAGCAATATTCCGGCTATATAACGGCGGTCTGTAAATAATCGAGTCTGGACTAAGCAATCCAGTGATTGACATCATGAGCATCGCTCAACGCAATTGGGATACGATGACATGCATCAACAGAGTCAGCGATCCTGACCACCCGATCATGTAAGTCGCCTTTTACGACAAGCATACTCGCCTTTTACGGCAAGCATGGGTTGCTGAAGACCTATTCTACCCCGGATCTTCACGGGTCCATCACCAGATGTGAATAGTGGACAAATATTACTTTTTAAATATTCAATAACTTCAATGATTTCAGGACTAGTGACTTGTTTTTTTGCATGTGTTTTGATTTAAGTTGTGTTGATCCTGAATTGATTTCCTTTCATGTAACACTCATCACAAGCGGCATGGGATGAAGGTCGCATATTTTTACGGAATATGGTCAGCCCACTCTTTGCAGGTTACTCGGTTTACCCTTCACCAATTAATGTCTCTGTTGATTCTTATATAATTATCTTTTCTGTGATAACATTTTCTATTTTCTTATCTCTTGAGCATTACTGTCTAAAGACCTAAAACTCTGATCCATAATCTCTATGTAATCTTAAAGCCTTATAACTTTGGAATGTTTGGGGCTTCAAGCTCTGCTTGAATTCAGGGAGGAAATGCACGATAGGATATCTCACATCAGCCGTTTGTTAGTTAAGTAGAGATAAACCATAGTCACATCAACTGGTCTCAAATGAACTATTTCATCCTTATCTTGTGCAAATAATGTATTGAATATATCAATTAAGAGCTCCTTATTATCTTCATTCCACACATAGGTAAACCAGCTTCTAGTATTGTCTTTTCATTTTGCTTTTGGTACAACAGATACATCCTTTTCTGAAAACAACTGGTCCTCAACACACAATGTTGACCTATTAGGATCATTTGTGTCCACGTTAAAAGTGAAATAGATTATGAAAAGATTGGATTCATCTCTGGTACCCAAACCAACATCAGAAATAGGAGAATAATATGACGAAGAAGCAATCATCTAGTCCACTACACTGGCTCCATAATGTGTTACAAAGGTGAATTTCCCTTGCTTGTGATAGAGACTTACTTGACTGTTATTGAAAGAATTCAGATCATCGATATACATAAAGCTAAAGTTCTTCTTCTTCTTGGCCAAACTCCGTTGTTTTGATTTTGCAAGTCCGATCAGAAATTCCGATTAATGCAAATCAAGAAACACATCCGCAAGAAGAGGATCACAATTGATGTCCACAGGGATGCTTATATCATACCTGTATAGCTAATTTCTACATTCCACAGAGATGTTAAAAATTCCATCATTTCACATATTGTTGTTCAGAGTTAGGTCCCTTGGGCATGCCGCAAACCTATTCAAAACCCGATTATTCTTCCAGTTTTGTCAGCACCACACTCGTGCTCAAGTTATAAACGTCTGATACCTGCATCACATCCAGGTTTTCTCCCACATTCGGCAGACACGCCCTGATAGAACTTTTAGCAACCCTAAACTGAACTCATCCACTCATTAAACTTTCGGTGACATTTGCTTTTATAGTTTTCATTTTCGTTTCATTTCTACTGAACTGTTGAACTATATCTATGATGGTTAATGTCAAATGCCCCATAGAACATTAGCCGCGTAGGATAGTGATGTACAAAGTTGAAAAATAAAATGTCTAATATTTTGTCTTTGCATCCATAGCAGTCGAATCAAATATTCTTTTCTCTGGACGTGCTATATGTATTTAGTTTGATTCGACAGGTCTATGAAAGGGTTTGTGCACAATGTTACATCTGTAAAGTTAAGATTTAAATTCAAGATATGATCAAATGTATTGCCTGTTGTCACGTGTGTGATGATTGCACTGACCCTCCATTATCTGACAAATAGTCACTGTCTGAAGAATTAATGGACAAAGATATTAATAAAGTGAGTGAGTGAGTTGGGTTTAACGCCGCTTTTAACAGTATTCCAGTTATATCGCGGCGTGTCAGCTTAGTGTGGGAGGAAAATCCGAAGTGATGCAGGTCTCAGACGTTTACCACTTCGGTGAAACCCACGAGCACGGGTATGGTGCTGACAAACCTAGAAACATAATCGGGGCGAACCGGGATTCGAACCCACAATCATAAGTTTATTGCGTGTCCAAGGGACGCAACTCTGCACGGTATTAATATAACGTATTAAAAAGTGGCTTTGTTTGTTTATTTATTTGTTGTTCAACGCCTCACTCGGCAATATTCAACTATATGACGGCTGTCTGTAAATAATCAAGTCTGGACGAGATAATCCAGTGATTGACATCATGAGCATCGATCCACGATCCAGCTATGCATCAACCAAGTCAGCTAACCTGACCACTCGATCCCGTTATTCGCCTCTTACGACAAGCATAGTCGCCATTTAGGGAAAATGGGTTGCTGAAGAACTAACCCCTAAACTAAGTACACAACAGGTTGATAACTTTTAAAAGGATATAACTATTGAAGTAATTTCAAAAAGCTGTAAGATCAATGAAAAACAATGTAAGCCCAGGAATAGATGGATACCCAATTGAAATCTTCATCTTTTTCTCGTACGACTTAGGCAAATGGACTCACAGATACATCAAAGAAATTAACTTCAACAATGAATGGGGGTTATTACATGCAATCCTAAGCCCAATAAAGACACAAAATTATTTAACAACAGGCGCCCAATATCCTTACTCCATTCATCATACAAAATGTTGGTACATGCATTGCAAATAGATTGGAAACAACATTACACATACTTATACAAACGGGGTTTATCCCGGAAAGATGTATTTATCAAAATAAAAGATTGCTGTATGACATGTTGTATGAAACTAGAACAATAAACGAACCTGAACATCTTTGGTAATCGACTTCGAAAAGGTATTTGACACTGTTTCAATAATCAAAATCTATATTGTGATAAAACGGGTTCAGTTTATTTTGAATCATGGGAACAACACTGACAGCATCGACGCAGGTCCTTCCGGTGTATTGGAATTACAGCTGAATATCATTCCATAAAGACATTTGAATTTTTGTTGAATTTCGTAGCTCTCGTAGCTTCGTGTAATTTATTCATTAATAGTTTTACGACGCTTCAGGGAAAGATAACTCTTAATGATTGGATGTGGAATGTTTTTGGAAGTCCATGCTGTCTGTAATGTTTACAGTCAAGTTCTGAGGTTGTATTCGTTTGGAAAACTTTACCTAGTCCAATATAAAAGCATCTACCCCCACCTGGTGTCGTCGCTGATTTTTGTTCATCTATTCATATAATGTATACCGCTATTTTGCTTTTACCCCAAATGTCATATGTTTCAGCACATTGGCGTTGACGGTTTATATGCGTTTTAAATTAGGAGCTAATTATCCTTATTTAGTTTCAGTGAGTGATTGAAGGGCATTGCAACATGAAGCAAATTTTCAGTTACTAGTATACCAAGCTGTCAGTATGTTCATACATTGTAGCTACGAACGACAAACGCCAGATACCTGTGTCCCCCGGAATATCGGCTGGGATCCTTCAGTCTCAGGGAAAGATCATCATATATTGATGTGGAGCTCTAATGCATCTCATGGTCGCTGTTTGACCCTGTTAAGAGACCCCTGCAATGGCTCCGGCTCATAGCTTATCTCTAGCAGCCTGTGTGTCATACAAGGTGGCTACATAGATCTGAAGGGCAAGTTCAGTGAATGCCCTTGAGTGTTAAGGTACCCAGTGAACGTTGCACATAATGTCTATTAGACAATAGAGCCTATGATCAATGGGACACAATTTCTTTTCATTGTCGTGTGAAAAGATCTGCATACTAGTTGCATTATCAATTTACACCCGTGAGGGTTCCTTGTTAGAATTGGTCCGATGCAGCCTATGTTAGTCGTAGGAAGTGACCTGATGGAGCGGGTGGTCAGGCTTGGTTGATCGTAACCCGATGACGTGGCTCCTTGGTCACAATATGAGACTCCACTACACTGGCTCTGGCACACACACACACACACACACACACACACACACACACACACACACACTGTTTTTAAACCAAAAGAAGAGGTTGTGTCCTAAACATCCTAAACAATTCCTTCAGACAAAACAACGTTATTAAAGAAGATACAGCCCCTCAATTTGCATGACTTTTCAGGTGAAAAATTGACTTCCCTTTGTATGTGTTTGTGAAGGGTTCCATGGGGGGGTTGCAGGTTACGTTCACGTTTTCGCGAACACCCGATATCATCCCTGTGTGAGGTTTAGGATACAGTCGGAATCGGGTACTCAACTCTGATTTGAGCAGATATTCCTTGTAGCCATGAAAAGTGTTTTGTTGTTTATATTTCAAATGTTAAAAAATGTTGCCCTTCCCAATCGCGTTAGTGGCGCTCACAGGGTCATGGCACTAAGTTCATTCACCAAGGGTTATACAGCCATTGGTTCTTGCACGTCGGTGATGGCTAACTACATGACCATGGGTTTGTATCCATTTAGGTCTAACAAAGATTTACAACCGCTATGCGAACACTTGATCGTTAAAAAGACTCATAAACACATCCTTATGATATCGTATAATGGACTCTGGTTTCAGTGGAGATTTCTTCACTTTAAAATAAATGTTGTCGCTCACATCTAAGGTAGCCAGACATTCTAGTCCGCTTGGGTATCCATTTATAGATGACCTGAGGCAGTTAAGGTTCAAGAACACGAAAAAATATCAAATTCGCTCTCACTCGTTTGGTGTTGGAGAATATTAATAACGTGACACTTAGTAAGTTGCACCTTTTACTTCGATCGCTTGAGTGAGTTTTACACGTGTGTCAGAATTTCTTCTGCATGGTTGTACCTAGCCACCTGCAAAAGATAAGAGTTTGTTTGTACTGTAAACATGACAACGTAATAACACACAAAAATGTCAATACTCTCACCATCGGTGTTGTTTTTGTTTATGACAACCAGACACAATGAAATACAACTTTAAGGTAGGCGTTCGGACAATATAAGGATTATTATCAGGGTATCTCACCCTCCTGTGGTATTCGAGAGCCTTTTCATCGCTAATTCGTTAAAGCTGCAATTATATTATCATGCCATTTGCTACACATCCGTAAAGAGTAAGTCCAGCGCTTGACCGTTGTATAGTCAACTTGTAAGGTCCAACAATTATCCAAGTGTCAGCATTTTACAAGCGTAAGTGATGATGCAACCATGTTTCACAAAAGCCTGTACACTGACCCTGATTTTTTTACTTCTTGTCTGTTGCTTATCACATCACTCGGCACTATTCTAGTTATATGACAAGGGCGTGAAAATGTTCGTGTCCGGACCAGACAACCTAGAGATCGATATAATGAGCAACGATCCACGACGTCAGGGCATGATGACACGCAATCAAACAAGTCACCGAACCTGACCAATTGCTCTACTTGGTCGCCTCTTACGCCCAGCATAGTCTGCTAGGGACCTATCATAACCTGGAATCCACTTACTTTAATAATAAATGCATTGGCAGTATTTGACAAAGTGTAACAATAAACGTTTTTGTGGTTATTTTCCTTGTCTCGCGACAACCTTTGACCTCACATCATGTGGCAAAAGAATTCCCCAGGTGAAGTGCAGGATATTCTTCAGTGCCATATTCAACAGATGTATAAGAGGGATCGGGTGGTCAGGCGCGCTGAGTCGGTTGATGCATGTCATCGTATCTAAATTGCGTAGATCGATGCTAATGATATCAATCACTGGATTGTCTGGTCCAGACTCGATTATAAACAGACTGTAGTCATATAGCTGGAATATTTCAAAGTGCGGCGTTAAACAACAAACAAACAAACAAAACAACTGTATTTCACAACGATCTGAACGTAGACATTAACCTTTACCATAATTGCAACTGACAAGTTCATTACATAAGGTGACCTTAATCGCTGTACCCAGGGACAATAATACGTCCATGAAAGAATAATATCTTAGGTCGGCATCTTATTGTAGTAGGCTGTAGCAAAATCACCGGGTCGCAGCAGTCAAATTCCAACAAAAGTTTTAAACAGTCTCGTTTCACGCGGCTGCAAATTATGGCTCAAACATAGATATGCAAGCCCGATGATTAACGCCGCATCGAGGTGACCTCCGTGATTGACAACCAAGTCCGCGAGCCTGACTACCGATCCATTTAGTCGTTTTTCACAACAAATACATGTTGCTGGGGTCCTTTGCTTTTACCTTAGATCCCGACGGGACGATGTCCCTTGATGTCAATGTCCTCATCATGACGATCATCAATTATTGTACCCTAGTCATCGTCACTTACTTTAATGAACATTGCATTTGTGCAGGTGGTAGCACAAAAGAACGGTCCGAGTATAGTTCAGTAGATAAATATCATATTATCTACTTACGATAAAATCTCCTCCTATTTCCTCCTGATCCTGCCCTTCTGTTCCCAAAGGAACCGCGCCTTCTGTTCCCAAAGGAACCGCGCCTTCTGTTCCATTTCGGCCATCTGTTCCTTGTCGACCCCGGCCATTTGTTCCATGTCGATGCTCCTGACCCTCTGTTCCATGTCGACGCTCCTGACCCTCTGTTCCATGTCGATGCTCCTGACCATCTGTTCCATGTCGACGGTCCTGACCATCTGTTCCATGTCGACGGTCCTGACCATCTGTTCCATGTTGACGCTCCTGACCATCTGTTCCATGTCGTCGAACCTGACCCAGACCATCTGTTCCATGTCGTCCACGCAGTAGCTGCAATAGGCAAGGTTTGTTGTTCAACGCCGCACCCATCAATACAATTCCCGTCTGGACCAGACAATTCAGTGATTGACATGATGAGTACAGATACAATCAATTTTAATGCGATTCGTTGACAGGCAATTAACTATGTCATACATTACCGATCCTGACCACCCGATTCATTTAGTCGTCGCTTACGTAAAGCACAGGTTCCTGGGGATCCAAGGGTTTGATTCTAAATGTCTTTGTACAGATACGTAATTGTTTTTCATTATAATCAGAATGTTCCTATTAATATTCTCACGATATCAAATCAAAATGAATAAGCGTGACTGCTTTCGGTTGTTTGAAATTATTCGGAGAGAGTGGTTCGTTTTTGCTTTTATACATGTAAAACGGTTTTTGTGTAAACAGTTTCAAACAAGCCATATATCTTCGTAGCAAGTCAGCTTTCAATTAACCGATAAATGAACATTCACTGTTTATTTCTAAATCTTGCAGAATAAGAGATATAAAATGAACAGTATACTCAAGGACCGACCATTTGTCATTTGTTCTTTGGCCTTTCAATAATATCTTGTCCAGTGGAAATGTGAGATGTCCTGTTTTGAACAAACTATATTTTGGCTCTTCCTTTCAATGACGAAGTGACTAAAGAATATATCCCACAAAGGATTTTTGTACTTACGACAAGGGGCATGGCTGCAATTGACCGTTCTCTCCTCACGTGTAATACAGTCAGGGGGCGTGCAAGTATTAACACAGACTCGACTGCGAGCCTGCATCTGTGTCCCGCATCCACATGTCACAGAACACGGACCAGTATTACCCCACGGGCACCAGGGGCCGATCACTGAATATGAAATCAAGACAAGAATCTTTGAACATCTAAAGTCTATTTGGACCCTTCGTGCAGCAATTAATGATCGATAGCAAAACCCGAATCGTGACTTCTGACGATAAGTTACATACACTTATACACATACACATTTTCTTGCCGACAATCGCGACATGACCATGCATGGCCGAAGACGCAACCTTCATCAATCGCGTTCACATTGTGGTGTCCGTTACAACCCCGTATTTTCTTGAGTTTTTTAAAACTATTTACCTTTGCTTTGTTACTGAAAAGTTGTTATCGCTATTGTTCTATCTATACACGGATCTCACATAATGTTATTACTACAAATGCAGGTAGAAACAGCCCGGGGAGCCGTTCAATATGTGTTTCAACAGTTGCCGACATTTTGATATGGTGCACGCATGCGCTAGATTTCTAGGTCTGTTTTTGTAGATATTTTCCTCTGCTGTATGGATTAATCTCTCTGACACCAATGAAATAGGTAGTCCATGGTGGAAAGCACACGGACAGTTCTCTCCTCGTTGGTTATTGGTTTAACATCAACACGTTTACACAATGTGTCTTAGTTGCATTAAACATGGTACATGTTTTACTTATCACTTATCACAAAGGCTTTTTCTGCATACCTGGACAGGTACAAATCTGACAATTGACTGTTCTCATCTCAACTGCTGTGAAGCCAGGCGGGCAACAGGTGGAACCGGTACAAGTCCGGGTCCTCATCTGCATCTTTGTCCCAGGCCCACAGGTCGTTGTGCAAGCGCCATTATCAGTCCATTCGGACCACATGCTGATAACTGCAAAGGAGATGAAGGTCGTTATGAAATCACACATCGATGTAGTGTATGAAAATAGAAAGCAATAGAGGGTTCACGCACTGAGAATAGGAATATGTGTTCGGTTGATGACACATGTTCTGGCGATGACTTGGAGGCAGTCTGTATTCTAGTTCTGTTGTCGATATTGTAGATCAACATTTCATCAGGACATCTAACATTTAAGAAAGGAACAGAAACAGAAATGTCACGCAGATAATATAAGACTTTATGCCTTTCTTGCAAAAGAATGGAAAGTGTCGTGAGTCCATATTTTTCGTCAGAAACAAACTAAAAGTCATGTTCTTTCCGCTTTGTGCGTTAGCAATCATTACGAAACTTTACAGTCACCTGCGAGACGTATTTCCTTTAATACAGAAGGTGGGTGTCAAGAATGGCATTAATAAAGTATATTTGCAATTGAGTCCCCAAATGGTCAGTCCTACACATATCATTGATGTTTGCCTCAGCGTTTAAGTTTTTTCAAGGAAACCACAGCAGAAATTTCCAATTCTGAAACATCTTAATAATTCTTGTTCAGGACTTTGCAGTACGTTTCTGTTAAAACTATACAGCTGTGTAACATAAGACTATTTGAAGTTGGTGTCAATTGTGAGGCTCCATCGAGTATCAATCTAAACGATTTTCCTGGTATATACAGACCAAACAGGCTCCATGCAGGGGTATTCTCCTGTGTCCGACATACAAGTCTGGTGGGAGCAACGAGTTTCAAACCGAAAGTAAGCCATGCTACCATTGTCACTGCCAGGGTGTATTGTTTCCAAACACCAAGGTCAGTCTCATAATCAGAATGTTTAAACAATTAACATTCTTTACCAAAATAGGTAAACCCCCTTCTTCTATACAAACCCTAGACTAGCTATGAAGTGTATATGAACAACTTTCAGGCTACATTGTGTCCATGGTGGGCTGAATTGGGTACTGATTCTAATTCATGTGATCAGAAATCAGCAGATTTTAGTGTTTACAACATAACTTCTCATCCTGTTGAAAACCCTTGCAAAATGTTGTTGTTTTTAACTTGCTACTGATTGTAAATTAAAATCTCAAACAAGTGGACACAAAACGGAATTATCTCAGTTGCCGTATACGTATGTCCATGTTTTGGTGAGAAACAAACTAAACTTTGTGCGTTAACAATCATCGCAAAACTTTGCCGTCTATTCCGTCACTAGACGTCATTCCTTTAATACATTGGGTGAGTTGTCTACACCATTAATAAAGTACATTTGCAATTGTGTGCCTAAATGGTTATTTATATAGATATCCTTGATGTGTGCCTCAGTTCTTTAGTTTGATTTTGTCAAGGAAACCACAGCAGAAATGTATTATTTCCTCTCACTTAACAAGGGTGTTATGTACGTTTTTGTTAAGAAACAAACCAAATATAAAGTTTTGTCCACTTTGTACATTTGTCCTATAATTCGACATGGTGGAACAATTTACATTACAAACTAGACATGATTTTCCTTTATTTTTTATTATAAAGGATTTTGTACTTACCTGGACATGTACAAATCTGACAATCGACAGTTCTCGTCTCAACTGCTGTGAAGTCAGCCGGGCAACAGGTGGAACCGGTACAAGTCCGGGTCCTCGTCTGCATCTTCGTCCCAGGCCCACAGGTCGTTGAGCAAGTTCCATTATCAGTCCATTCGGACCACATGCTGATAACTGCAAAGGAGATGAAGGTCGTTATGAAATCACACATCGATGTAGTGTATGAAAATAGAAAGGAATAGAGGGTTCACGCACTGAGAATAGGAATATGTGTTCGGTTGATGACACATGTTCTGGCGATGACTTGGAGGCAGTCTGTATTCTAGTTCTGTAGTCGATATTGTAGATAAAGATTTCATCAGGACATCTAACATTTAAGAAATGAACAGAAACAGAAATGTCACGCAGATAATATAAGACTTTATGCCTTTCTTGCAAAGGAATGGAAAGTGTCGTGAGTTTATATTTTTCGTCAGAAACAAACTAAAAGTCATGTTCTTTCCGCTTTGTGCGTTAGCAATCATTACAAAACCTTGCAGTCACCTGCGAGACGTATTTCCTTTAATACAGAAGGTGGGTGTCAAGAATGGCATTAATAAAGTATATTTGCAAGTGTGTGCCCAAATGGTCAGTTATACACATATTATTGATGTTTGCCTCAGCGTTTCAGATCTTTCAAGGACACCACAGCAGAAATTTCCAATTCTGAAACATCTTAATAATTCTTGTTCAGGACTTTGCAGTACGTTTCTGTTAAAACTATAAACAGATGTGTAACATAAAACTACTTGAAGTTGGTGTCGATTGCGAGGCTCCATGGAGTATCAATCTAAACAATTTTCCTGGTATATACAGACCAAACAGGCTCCATGCAGGGGTATTCTCCTGTGTCCGACATACAAGTCTGGTGGGAGCAACGAGTTTCAAACCGAAAGTAAGCCATGCTACCATTGTCACTGCCAGGGTGTATTGTTTCCAAACACCAAGGTCAGTCTAATAATCAGAATGTTTAAACAATTAACATTCTTTACCAAAATAGCTAAACCCCCTCCTTCTATACAAACCCTAGACTAGCTATGAAGTGTATATGAACAACTTTCAGGCTACATTGTGTCCATGGTGGGCTGAATTTGGTACTGATTCTAATTCATGTGACCAGAAATCAGCAGATTTTAGTGTTTACAACATAACTTCCCATCCTGTTGAAAACCCTTGCAAAATGTTGTTGTTTTTAACTAGCTACTGATTGTAAATTAAAATCTCAAACAAGTGGACACAAAACGGAATTATCTCAGTTGCCGTATACGTATGTCCATGTTTTGGTGAGAAACAAACTAAACTTTGTGCGTTAACAATCATCGCAAAACTTTGCCGTCTATTCCGTCACTAGACGTCATTCCTTTAATACATTGGGTGAGTTGTCTACACCATTAATAAAGTACATTTGCAATTGTGTGCCTAAATGGTTATTTATATAGATATCCTTGATGTGTGCCTCAGTTCTTTAGTTTGATTTTGTCAAGGAAACCACAGCAGAAATGTATTATTTCCTCTCACTTAACAAGGGTGTTATGTACGTTTTTGTTAAGAAACAAACTAAATATGAAGTTTTGTCCACTTTGTACATTTGTCCTATAATTCGACATGGTGGAACAATTTACATTACAAACTAGACATGATTTTCCTTTATTTTTTATTATAAAGGATTTTGTACTTACCTGGACATGTACAAATCTGACAATCGACAGTTCTCGTCTCAACTGCTGTGAAGTCAGCCGGGCAACAGGTGGAACCGGTACAAGTCCGGGTCCTCGTCTGCATCTTCGTCCCAGGCCCACAGGTCGTTGAGCAAGTTCCATTATCAGTCCATTCGGACCACATGCTGATAACTGCAAAGGAGATGAAGGTCGTTATGAAATCACACATCGATGTAGTGTATGAAAATAGAAAGGAATAGAGGGTTCATGCACTGAGAATAGGAATATGTGTTCGGTTGATGACACATGTTCTGGCGATGACTTGGAGGCAGTCTGTATTCTAGTTCTGTAGTCGATATTGTAGATCAAGATATCATCATGACATCTTACATTTAAGAAAAGAACAGAAACAGAAATGTCACGCAGATAATATAAGACTTTATGCCTTTCTTTACAATGGAATGGAAAGTGTCGTGAGTTTATATTTTTCGTCAGAAACAAACTAAAAGTCATGTTCTTTCCGCTTTGTGCGTTAGCAATCATTACGAAACCTTGCAGTCACCTGCGAGACGTATTTCCTTTAATACAGAAGGTGGGTGTCAAGAATGGCATTAATAAAGTATATTTGCAAGTGTGTGCCCAAATATTCAGTTATACACATATTATTGATGTTTGCCTCAGCGTTTCAGATCTTTCAAGGACACCACAGCAGAAATTTCCAATTCTGAAACTTCTTAATAATTCTTGTTCAGGACTTTGCAGTACGTTTCTGTTAAAACTATAAACAGATGTGTAACATAAAACTACTTGAAGTTGGTGTCGATTGCGAGGCTCCATGGAGTATCAATCCAAACGATTTTCCTGGTATATACAGACCAAACAGGCTCCATGCAGGGGTATTCTCCTGTGTCCGACATACAAGTCTGGTGGGTGCAACGAGTTTCAAACCGAAAGTAAGCCATGCTACCATTGTCACTGCCAGGGTGTATTGTTTCCAAACACCAAGGTCAGTCTCATAATCAGAATGTTTAAACAATTAACATTCTTTACCAAAATAGGTAAACCACCTCCTTCTATACAAACCCCAAACTAGCTATGAAGTGTATATAAACAACTTTCAGGCTACAAATATAGGCACAAGGCAGGAACAAATTGTGATGATGCAAGGAAATAATTAAAATACACTTGTCCTTTGTGGGCTGCTTTAGTACTGATTCTAATTCATGTGATCAGAAATCATGATCAGCAGATTTTAGTGTTTACAACATAACTTCCCATCCTGTGGAAAACCCTTGCAAAATGTTGTTTTTTATTCTGATTGTAAATTAAAATCTCAAACAAGTGGACACAAAACGGAATTATCTCAGTCGCCATATGTCCATGTTTTGGTGAGAAACAAACTAAACTTTGTGCGTTAACAATCATCGCAAAACTTTGCAGTCTATTCCGTCGCTATACGTAATTCCTTTAATACAGTGGGTGAGTTGTCTACACCATTAATAAAGAATGTTTGCAATTGTGTGCCTAAATGGTCATTTATATAGATATCCTTGATGTTTGCCTCAGTTCTTTAGTTTGATTTTGTCAAGGAAACCACAGCAGAAATGTATTATTTCCTCTCACTTAACAAGGGTGTTATGTACGTTTTTGTTAAGAAACAAACTTAATATGAAGTTTTGTCCACTTTGTACATTTTTCCTATAATTCGACATGTTGGAACAATTTACATTACAAACTAGACATGATTTTCCTTTATTTTTTATTATAAAGGATTTTGTACTTACCTGGACATGTACAAATCTGACAATCGACAGTTCTCGTCTCAACTGCTGTGAAGTCAGCCGGGCAACAGGTGGAACCGGTACAAGTCCGGGTCCTCGTCTGCATCTTCGTCCCAGGCCCACAGGTCGTTGAGCAAGTTCCATTATCAGTCCATTCGGACCACATGCTGATAACTGCAAAGGAGATGAAGGTCGTTATGAAATCACACATCGATGTAGTGTATGAAAATAGAAAGGAATAGAGGGTTCATCCACTGAGAATAGGAATATGTGTTCGGTTGATGACACATGTTCTGGCGATGACTTGGAGGCAGTCTGTATTCTAGTTCTGTAGTCGATATTGTAGATCAAGATATCATCATGACATCTAACATTTAAGAAAAGAACAGAAACAGAAATGTCACGCAGATAATATAAGACTTTATGCCTTTCTTTACAATGGAATGGAAAGTGTCGTGAGTTTATATTTTTCGTCAGAAACAAACTAAAAGTCATGTTCTTTCCGCTTTGTGCGTTAGCAATCATTACGAAACCTTGCAGTCACCTGCGAGACGTATTTCCTTTAATACAGAAGGTGGGTGTCAAGAATGGCATTAATAAAGTATATTTGCAAGTGTGTGCCCAAATGGTCAGTTATACACATATTATTGATGTTTGCCTCAGCGTTTCAGATCTTTCAAGGACACCACAGCAGAAATTTCCAATTCTGAAACTTCTTAATAATTCTTGTTCAGGACTTTGCAGTACGTTTCTGTTAAAACTATAAACAGATGTGTAACATAAAACTACTTGAAGTTGGTGTCGATTGCGAGGCTCCATGGAGTATCAATCTAAACGATTTTTCTGGTATATACAGACCAAACAGGCTCCATGCAGGGGTATTCTCCTGTGTCCGACATACAAGTCTGGTGGGTGCAACGAGTTTCAAACCGAAAGTAAGCCATGCTACCATTGTCACTGCCAGGGTGTATTGTTTCCAAACACCAAGGTCAGTCTCATAATCAGAATGTTTAAACAATTAACATTCTTTACCAAAATAGGTAAACCACCTCCTTCTATGCAAACCCCAAACTAGCTATGAAGTGTATATAAACAACTTTCAGGCTACAAATATAGGCATAAGGCAGGAACAAATTGTGATGATGCAAGGAAATAATTAAAATACACTTGTCCTTTGTGGGCTGCCTTTAGTACTGATTCTAATTCATGTGATCAGAAATCAGCAGATTTTAGTGTTTACAACATAACTTCCCATCCTGTGGAAAACCCTTGCAAAATGTTGTTGTTTTTTATTCTGATTGTAAATTAAAATCTCAAACAAGTGGACACAAAACGGAATTATCTCAGTCGCCATATGTCCATGTTTTAGTGAGAAACAAACTAAACTTTGTGCGTTAACAATCATCGCAAAACTTTGCAGTCTATTCCGTCGCTATACGTAATTCCTTTAATACAGTGGGTGAGTTGTCTACACCATTAATAAAGTATATTTGCAATTGTGTGCCTAAATGGTCATTTATATAGATATCCTTGATGTTTGCCTCAGTTCTTTAGTTTGATTTTGTCAAGGAAACCACAGCAGAAATGTATTATTTCCTCTCACTTAACAAAGGTGTTATGTACGTTTTTGTTAAGAAACAAACTAAATATGAAGTTTTGTCCACTTTGTACATTTGTCCTATTATTCGACATGTTGGAACAATTTACATTACAAACTATACATGATTTTCCTTTATTTTTTATTATAAAGGATTTTGTACTTACCTGGACATGTACAAATCTGACAATCGACAGTTCTCGTCTCAACTGCTGTGAAGTCAGCCGGGCAACAGGTGGAACCGGTACAAGTCCGGGTCCTCGTCTGCATCTTCGTCCCAGGCCCACAGGTCGTTGAGCAAGTTCCATTATCAGTCCATTCGGACCACATGCTGATAACTGCAAAGGAGATGAAGGTCGTTATGAAATCACACATCGATGTAGTGTATGAAAATAGAAAGGAATAGAGGGTTCACGCACTGAGAATAGGAATATGTGTTCGGTTGATGACACATGTTCTGGCAATGACTTGGAGGCAGTCTGTATTCTAGTTCTGTAGTCGATATTGTAGATCAAGATATCATCATGACATCTAACATTTAAGAAAAGAACAGAAACAGAAATGTCACGCAGATAATATAAGACTTTATGCCTTTCTTTACAATGGAATGGAAAGTGTCGTGAGTTTATATTTTTCGTCAGAAACAAACTAAAAGTCATGTTCTTTCCGCTTTGTGCGTTAGCAATCATTACGAAACCTTGCAGTCACCTGCGAGACGTATTTCCTTTAATACAGAAAGTGGGTGTCAAGAATGGCATTAATAAAGTATATTTGCAAGTGTGTGCCCAAATGGTCAGTTATACACATATTATTGATGTTTGCCTCAGCGTTTCAGATCTTTCAAGGACACCACAGCAGAAATTTCCAATTCTGAAACTTCTTAATAATTCTTGTTCAGGACTTTGCAGTACGTTTCTGTTAAAACTATAAACAGACGTGTAACATAAAACTACTTGAAGTTGGTGTCGATTGCGAGGCTCCATGGAGTATCAATCTAAACGATTTTTCTGGTATATACAGACCAAACAGGCTCCATGCAGGGGTATTCTCCTGTGTCCGACATACAAGTCTGGTGGGTGCAACGAGTTTCAAACCGAAAGTAAGCCATGCTACCATTGTCACTGCCAGGGTGTATTGTTTCCAAACACCAAGGTCAGTCTCATAATCAGAATGTTTAAACAATTAACATTCTTTACCAAAATAGGTAAACCACCTCCTTCTATGCAAACCCCAAACTAGCTATGAAGTGTATATAAACAACTTTCAGGCTACAAATATAGGCATAAGGCAGGAACAAATTGTGATGATGCAAGGAAATAATTAAAATACACTTGTCCTTTGTGGGCTGCCTTTAGTAATGATTCTAATTCATGTGATCAGAAATCAGCAGATTTTAGTGTTTACAACATAACTTCCCATCCTGTGGAAAACCCTTGCAAAATGTTGTTGTTTTTTATTCTGATTGTAAATTAAAATCTCAAACAAGTGGACACAAAACGGAATTATCTCAGTCGCCATATGTCCATGTTTTAGTGAGAAACAAACTAAACTTTGTGCGTTAACAATCATCGCAAAACTTTGCAGTCTATTCCGTCGCTATACGTAATTCCTTTAATACAGTGGGTGAGTTGTCTACACCATTAATAAAGTATATTTGCAATTGTGTGCCTAAATGGTCATTTATATAGATATCCTTGATGTTTGCCTCAGTTCTTTAGTTTGATTTTGTCAAGGAAACCACAGCAGAAATGTATTATTTCCTCTCACTTAACAAGGTTGTTATGTACGTTTTTGTTAAGAAACAAACTAAATATGAAGTTTTGTCCACTTTGTACATTTGTCCTATTATTCGACATGTTGGAACAATTTACATTACAAACTAGACATGATTTTCCTTGATTTTTTATTATAAAGGATTTTGTACTTACCTGGACATGTACAAATCTGACAATCGACAGTTCTCGTCTCAACTGCTGTGAAGTCAGCCGGGCAACAGGTGGAACCGGTACAAGTCCGGGTCCTCGTCTGCATCTTCGTCCCAGGCCCACAGGTCGTTGAACAAGTTCCATTATCAGTCCATTCGGACCACATGCTGATAACTGCAAAGGAGATGAAGGTCGTTATGAAATCACACATCGATGTAGTGTATGAAAATAGAAAGGAATATAGGGTTCACGCACTGAGAATAGGAATATGTGTTCGGTTGATGACACATGTTCTGGCGATGACTTGGAGGCAGTCTGTATTCTAGTTCTGTAGTCGATATTGTAGATCAAGATATCATCATGACATCTAACATTTAAGAAAAGAACAGAAACAGAAATGTCACGCAGATAATATAAGACTTTATGCCTTTCTTTACAATGGAATGGAAAGTGTCGTGAGTTTATATTTTTCGTCAGAAACAAACTAAAAGTCATGTTCTTTCCGCTTTGTGCGTTAGCAATCATTACGAAACCTTGCAGTCACCTGCGAGACGTATTTCCTTTAATACAGAAGGTGGGTGTCAAGAATGGCATTAATAAAGTATATTTGCAAGTGTGTGCCCAAATGGTCAGTTATACACATATTATTGATGTTTGCCTCAGCGTTTCAGATCTTTCAAGGACACCACAGCAGAAATTTCCAATTCTGAAACTTCTTAATAATTCTTGTTCAGGACTTTGCAGTACGTTTCTGTTAAAACTATAAACAGACGTGTAACATAAAACTACTTGAAGTTGGTGTCGATTGCGAGGCTCCATGGAGTATCAATCTAAACGATTTGCCTGGTATATACAGACCAAACAGGCTCCATGCAGGGGTATTCTCCTGTGTCCGACATACAAGTCTGGTGGGTGCAACGAGTTTCAAACCGAAAGTAAGCCATGCTACCATTGTCACTGCCAGGGTGTATTGTTTCCAAACACCAAGGTCAGTCTCATAATCAGAATGTTTAAACAATTAACATTCTTTACCAAAATAGGTAAACCACCTCCTTCTATGCAAACCCCAAACTAGCTATGAAGTGTATATAAACAACTTTCAGGCTACAAATATAGGCATAAGGCAGGAACAAATTGTGATGATGCAAGGAAATAATTAAAATACACTTGTCCTTTGTGGGCTGCCTTTAGTAATGATTCTAATTCATGTGATCAGAAATCAGCAGATTTTAGTGTTTACAACATAACTTCCCATCCTGTGGAAAACCCTTGCAAAATGTTGTTGTTTTTTATTCTGATTGTAAATTAAAATCTCAAACAAGTGGACACAAAACGGAATTATCTCAGTCGCCATATGTCCATGTTTTAGTGAGAAACAAACTAAACTTTGTGCGTTAACAATCATCGCAAAACTTTGCAGTCTATTCCGTCGCTATACGTAATTCCTTTAATACAGTGGGTGAGTTGTCTACACCATTAATAAAGTATATTTGCAATTGTGTGCCTAAATGGTCATTTATATAGATATCCTTGATGTTTGCCTCAGTTCTTTAGTTTGATTTTGTCAAGGAAACCACAGCAGAAATGTATTATTTCCTCTCACTTAACAAGGTTGTTATGTACGTTTTTGTTAAGAAACAAACTAAATATGAAGTTTTGTCCACTTTGTACATTTGTCCTATTATTCGACATGTTGGAACAATTTACATTACAAACTAGACATGATTTTCCTTGATTTTTTATTATAAAGGATTTTGTACTTACCTGGACATGTACAAATCTGACAATCGACAGTTCTCGTCTCAACTGCTGTGAAGTCAGCCGGGCAACAGGTGGAACCGGTACAAGTCCGGGTCCTCGTCTGCATCTTCGTCCCAGGCCCACAGGTCGTTGAGCAAGTTCCATTATCAGTCCATTCGGACCACATGCTGATAACTGCAAAGGAGATGAAGGTCGTTATGAAATCACACATCGATGTAGTGTATGAAAATAGAAAGCAATAGAGGGTTCACGCACTGAGAATAGGAATATGTGTTCGGTTGATGACACATGTTCTGGCGATGACTTGGAGGCAGTCTGTATTCTAGTTCTGTAGTCGATATTGTAGATCAAGATATCATCATGACATCTAACATTTAAGAAAAGAACAGAAACAGAAATGTCACGCAGATAATATAAGACTTTATGCCTTTCTTTACAATGGAATGGAAAGTGTCGTGAGTTTATATTTTTCGTCAGAAACAAACTAAAAGTCATGTTCTTTCCGCTTTGTGCGTTAGCAATCATTACGAAACCTTGCAGTCACCTGCGAGACGTATTTCCTTTAATACAGAAAGTGGGTGTCAAGAATGGCATTAATAAAGTATATTTGCAAGTGTGTGCCCAAATGGTCAGTTATACACATATTATTGATGTTTGCCTCAGCGTTTCAGATCTTTCAAGGACACCACAGCAGAAATTCCCAATTCTGAAACTTCTTAATAATTCTTGTTCAGGACTTTGCAGTACGTTTCTGTTAAAACTATAAACAGACGTGTAACATAAAACTACTTGAAGTTGGTGTCGATTGCGAGGCTCCATGGAGTATCAATCTAAACGATTTTCCTGCTATATACAGACCAAACAGGCTCCATGCAGGGGTATTCTCCTGTGTCCGACATACAAGTCTGGTGGGTGCAACGAGTTTCAAACCGAAAGTAAGCCATGCTACCATTGTCACTGCCAGGGTGTATTGTTTCCAAACACCAAGGTCAGTCTCATAATCAGAATGTTTAAACAATTAACATTCTTTACCAAAATAGGTAAACCACCTCCTTCTATACAAACCCCAAACTAGCTATGAAGTGTATATAAACAACTTTCAGGCTACAAATATAGGCACAAGGCAGGAACAAATTGTGATGATGCAAGGAAATAATTAAAATACACTTGTCCTTTGTGGGCTGCTTTAGTACTGATTCTAATTCATGTGATCAGAAATCATGATCAGCAGATTTTAGTGTTTACAACATAACTTCCCATCCTGTGGAAAACCCTTGCAAAATGTTGTTGTTTTTTATTCTGATTGTAAATTAAAATCTCAAACAAGTGGACACAAAACGGAATTATCTCAGTCGCCATATGTCCATGTTTTGGTGAGAAACACACTAAACTTTGTGCGTTAACAATCATCGCAAAACTTTGCAGTCTATTCCGTCGCTATACGTAATTCCTTTAATACAGTGGGTGAGTTGTCTACACCATTAATAAAGTATATTTGCAATTGTGTGCCTAAATGGTCATTTATATAGATATCCTTGATGTTTGCCTCAGTTCTTTAGTTTGATTTTGTCAAGGAAACCACAGCAGAAATGTATTATTTCCTCTCACTTAACAAAGGTGTTATGTACGTTTTTGTTAAGAAACAAACTAAATATGAAGTTTTGTCCACTTTGTACATTTGTCCTATAATTCGACATGTTGGAACAATTTACATTACAAACTAGACATGATTTTCCTTTATTTTTTATTATAAAGGATTTTGTACTTACCTGGACATGTACAAATCTGACAATCGACAGTTCTCGTCTCAACTGCTGTGAAGTCAGCCGGGCAATTAGCGGTACAGGTTCGGTTCCGAAACTGCATCCGTGTGCCAGGCCCACAGGTCGTTGAGCAAGTTCCATTATCAGTCCATTCGGACCAAGGAGTGATAACTGCGAAATATATGATTTTGTAGTATATAGTATTTGAAATTGCAAAGCTTATAATGTTTCTCAAGTAATAAATGGAATGAAAACAACACCAACAATTGTGAAAGTGATTTTAATTTTTATTTTGCAACATAATCTCCATTCTTTTTCAATATCGATAGTGAAGCTTTTCAATTGCAGTCTGGAAGAAGTTTTCTGAAGCCACCCTGAAAAACCCATTCAAAGCAGCTTTGAGGTGAACGTTGTCGTCATAACGCTTTCAACGAAAGTGTTCTTTCAGCTTAGGAAACAGGTGGAAATCACTTGGTGCAAGGTATGGCGAGTATTGAGAGTGAGGAAGCTCTTCGAACCCACATTGTCGCACAGCAGCCGTTGCAAGTTGAGAGGTATGAGAAGAGGCATTGTCATGAAAAAATAGAACTCCACCAATCAGCATTCCTCTTTCTTTGATAGAATCCATCAGGCAATGAAGCAAATTAGCATACTAGGCACCAGTAATCGTCAAGGATTAACAAGGATCTCACCCTTTGCATCCCAGTATACAGAGGCCATAACTTTCTTCGCTGATCTTAAAGATTGGAATGTCTTTGATGCCGGAGAAGTGGAATGGTGCCATTCCATGAATTGACGTTTTGCCTCGGGATCATAGTTGTAGACCAGTGTTTAATCACACGTTACCAATCTCTTTTTGAATTTGAAGAAATCCTACTCAATTTGTCTCTGACAATGTCAGTTTTTTTTCCTTAAGATGAGAATTTAGACACTTTGTAAACGTTCATGAATAATAACACTTGTCATATGGGGTCATGAATTTCTTTAGGGGAGTACTTTTCTCGGAACTCAAAAACTTGATGACTGCTTGGTACTAGTTCTTTTCCATTTCTGTGTCCATTTGGACCCCTATTACGTTCAGCTGGCTGACACTTATATCCAAACGGCCTTAACAGACCAAATACACTTGCCATGAACTACATAAACAATGTACTTCATTGACTAGTTCACTTTGTTATGGCCCATAGATGAAAGTTAGTCAAGCTTACATTTTTTGGACCAGTCCTCGTATGTTCTCTGTTTTTGGCACCTTCTGGCGATGACATGGAGGAAGTATGTATATGTCGTTTAACAGAGCAATATCACATCTATGCAGCGGCCTGTAAATAATAGAATCTGGACCGAACTATCCAGTTTTGCAATATTTTAATCAATGTCAACGTGACCGAGATTAGGAGCTCAATTATCCGGTTCACCATGAACTGGTGTTCAATTACTTTTTTAAACTGTAATCTTAAGAACGTTGTGCGTTGGGTTTTTTTTGGTGAGTTCCACCCACCTCAGGAACCAGTCCTGCTTGCAGACGTATTTGAAGGTGTTCTTTTGCTGGATGTGAGCTTGCAATATAGGAGCTCCTTCATTATTTCATTCTCCATGACAAATGTGGCGGAGCCAGTGAAGTCAATGCTGAGGTTCCAGCTAATGACCAGGACATGCCGCAGGCTGCTCTTGTGGAAGGCGTTGAACTTCTTTTCTTGTCTCGCGAAAAGGAAGGTCCAAGAGTAGCTGCCAAAGACGCAGACTGCAGACAACAACCTTGGTGTATCTTGTCACCTTGCTGATCTCCCACACTCACGTCGTCAGTCTGGCGGGGGTGGTGGATGCTATGCCTACCTGTCTGTCTCAGCATCCAAAGACAGGTTGTCTGTGATGGTGGAGCCGAACTGTTTTACCACCTCCACCTCATAGACGTTGATGAAGATCACTGTAGGCTGCTCGATGCCATGGTCCAACATATTTGCCTTTGTTGACTAGGTTGCAAGATCCGACTATCAGCAAAAAGCTTTAGCTTTAGCTTTCCCATCAGATATAGTTTGGAAGTAGATGGTCGGGGCTTCAAAGTCAGTATGACTGTGAAGAAGATTAAAAAAAGGATGGTTCTAGTATGCTCCACTGTGGATGTAGAAAGCCTCAGAGGGTGAACTGTCAAACTGTACCTTTCATGGCAGTATGTAGTGACTGGATCATATTGAGGAGGCAATCTAGGCACACAATGTCGAAAGGCTTTAGTGGGGTTGATAAAAATGCGACAGATTTGAGGCTTCTGCTGATGTCTATTGAGAAGATTCGAGATACACCCTGTCAGCAAGTTTCTGTAGCGAGAGCTTTCTTGTGATGCTTTGCATGTTCTTGTACAAGGTGCCGATGCTGATGTCTCTCATGTGCTTTGGTACCACACCCTCATCCCAACACTGACACAGAAGTTCATACAGGTGGCCTTGCAAGATCCCCTTTTCTGCAGTTGACAGCCCCTGGAGGGATCCCATCTATTCCGAGCACGCTAAATGCCTTCTAGTGCAGAGCCAGATATGTTATTTTCCCTTTGGTCGAGTGATCAACCCATCTCTCCATCTGCTCTGTTTTTGCCTCTGTCTCTGATTGTTTTGCCCGTTGCAGATTTCAGGGGCAATGTCTTGTTTTGAGTTGGAATGATGTCTTTCTTGATGCTGTGGTACACATTATCAGTCAATAATTGAATGCCCTTGCCGACATGCAGCAAGTAGTCATTCGCGGATGTTATTGCTGTTTTCGTTGTTTTGTTTCTGACAGCTCGTAGGGTTTTCTTTTGAAGGTAGCATTCTATTAGAGCTGCACCCGTTTTCTCGGTGATAGGGATGAGCTCGCAGGAGTAGGCTTCCAGCCAATCGTGAGTTTTCCCCAAAATCTTCCCAGAGACTGAGAATGAAACAGCATACAGACTGTCGCTCTGATGAACTGATCTTTCTTGGCATCTCCCTGTGGAGGTTCTGTCCAATCTTCCGTCCAATGGTTGTGCGCGGCTTTGCGTACAATGATACGAGTCTCTTCCTTCCAGCTTTGTGTGGTGCATCTCTTTGGCAGGAATCTCATTCTTTCAGGGGAGCAAGGAATGGTCGGCACTTAGGTACACAAATGTGACAAACTCATTGCTGAGGTGGCGTGGTATTGTCCAGGGGTTTACCAGGACTCCTTGTGGTTGGTTGGTTGGTTGGTTTGTTGCCGGAAGACTACAAGGAGTGTTTACTGTACGAGTAGCATGGTGATGTCCACTTGCAACAAATGTCCAATACTACTTGGTATAGAGATGGCGGAAAAGCTTCCTGGAGGGATTTGAAGACAAGAGGATACTGTCTTAGCGACTGGAAGAGCAACCAGCAAAGGTTGACGAGACCCCTTTTCCCAAAGCATCTGGTTTTGAGGTACCAGATTGCC